CTTAAATGCTAGCAAGTTTTGTTTGGTGTAAGCTTTTTTGGGCTGTGGTCCATGAAACTTCTTGCCAAAAAAACTTGCTAATCCCTAAGGTGCCATAAGACTTTCTGAACTTTTGTTGTTGTTCTTAATGGAATACACATGTGTACGTGTGCACACACATTGTTGTATGTGCTTGCAGTTTAATTAGGGAGTAAATCAGTCACACAAACCTCTAGACATCTAATTAAGTGTAATCTCAGCTTTTGGACACCTTTTGTGGCTTTTTCTTTTACTCCCTACATTTTCCTCTCATTATCAGTAGCTCTGTAAGTATGCAAGGAGTACTTGCTACCTTTTTTCTTATTCGAATATTGCTGGAGGTAATTCATTCATGCTTCTAAACTGAATAATAATGATGATAGGAACTTGCAAAAAGATCTGTAAATCACAAATGGGGGTTTCAGAGAAGGCCTAGCCATCAAGGCAAGTTAGCCAGCTGATTAATGGGTCTGTATAATTGTAACTATTGCCAGATGTTGTTATAAATGAATTTATTGTGGCAGTTGACCTGTTTACCCAAAAGACAACACACAACTTTCAAGACTTTCCAAATAATAATTGTAGTTGTAGCTAAAATAAATAACAATCAGTGTGAAATTAAACAGGAGTGTGAAAACAATTCCAGTAGCAGTGCAGGTGTAACAGGCACATGTTGACCATTAATAGGTACAGTAATACACATTAATAATCATTAATTGTACTAGGCATGGTAAGTGCAGTCCGTTTGCAAGAATAGGTGACAGTTATTCTCCCTTACAAAATGAATGAATGAAATTGCTATCTGACTGTAAACGTAACACAGTTGCATGATTACCTAAATTTAACTGGGAACACAATGGCTGTGTTTTTGGACTAGTCAGTCTATTTTTGGACTAGTCAGATGTTTTTATCACCTTCAGTGGAGAAAATATTCTCAAACATCTAGTTGTAAATAATATGCAGCATACAACTTTTGACCTGTGCCTTACGGGCTTATTATGAAGAAAAATGGTTAAAAAATCTTGCAAAGATGAGAAACTTCCCCTTTTCATTGGACAAACTACTTTTTGAGCCTTGTTTGAAAGTTAGGAGTGGTTCAATGGAAGTATTAACCAGTGGTGTTACTTGAACCTGTCCTTATTTTACTCATTTATGAATGATTTGGCTTCCTTGGAATCAGCTGGATCTTTGAGCTCTGCAATTAGGCTATTTAAATGTATGATTTCTATTTTATGCTATGATTGTGTTTTATTGCCACAGTCAATGGTTGGAATATCTTGCCTACTGCAAGATATTCCAACTACTGCTTCTGTAGTTTTTGAAAATTATTAGGCTTTTAGATTCAATTATAGAATTTTTATCCCACTTTTACACAACCGTAGCAAAAGGAAGATGGCCAATAACAGTGAGATGCAGAGGTGTAGTTTTTAGTCCCAGCTAAAGCAGATCTACTGAATAAATGGGATTTACAGTAAGGATTGACTTACCATTTAGAATTGATTCAGTGAGTCTGCTCTAGTCAGGACTAGCAGTTGGATTTCTTCCATTGTTAAATTTATCAAAATGAATCTTAGCCATTTCTAAATCTAGAAACATGTAGGTAATGGGCATCCTACCCAGTACTTGAAGGACAGATCCTGAAGCTGAGGCTCCAATACTTTGGCCATCTCATGAGAAGAGAAGACTCCCTGGAAAAGACCCTGATGTTGGGAAAGTGTGAAGGCAAGAGGAGAAGGGGCAGAGGACAAGATGGATGGACAGTGTCATCGAAGCTACCAACTTGAATTTGACCCAACTCTGGGAGGCAGTGGAAGACAGGAAGGCTCTGGTCCATGGGGTCACGAAGAGTTGGACACGACTTAATGACTAAACAACAGCAACCCAGTACATTTGCTAGTGTTTATTTTCATCATACTCTAAAGAGGAACCTTCAAAATGTTTTGTACTTCAAATGTCAAATAATAACAGAGCCATTCTGAAGCTTCTTTCCCACAAAGAGCAGTTGTTCAGTGCATACAGGTGTACTGATCATGGCAGATTTCCCACTCCAGCCTCTTTTTTGTGTACAGTCTTTTCTGATGGGGCAGGATGATAGGAAAGATGACTAGAGGATCCAGTTACAGTGGGGTCTCTACTTAAGAACGTCCCTACTTAAGAACAAGCCAACTTAAGAACAGCTCCATTTGCTAAATTTTGCTTCTACTTGAGAACAGAAATCCAAGATAAGAACAGGAAAAAAAACCTTTCCTGCTCTTTTTTTAACCTTAGGTCATCTTAGGTTAAAAAAAATTCTCCCCCTAGTGGTAGAATCCGTATTAACCAGCTTTGCATTAGTTACTATGGGAACTAATGCTTCAATGTACGAACGCAGCTCTACATAACAAAAAAAAACAGCCAGAACAGATTAATTGGTTTTCAGTCCATTCCTATGGGAAATTTTGCTTCAACTTAAGAACATTTCAACTTAAGAACACCATTCCAAAACCGATTAATTTCTTAAGTAGAGGTTCCGCTGTAGTTTCTATGGACGGAAAAGAGCAGATACGGATTAAATGGTTTTCAATGCATTCCTATGGGAAATGCAGATTCAGCATAAGAACTTTTCAACTTGAGAACCACCTTCCAATACGGATTACGTAAGTTCTTAAGTAGAGACCCCACTGTATTGGCTTATTTTCTAGTTCAAAGGGGAGGTGCTGTAGTTGTCTCACTGTCTTTGTTCACTGTAGCATTATGTGGAGTAGAAGAGTTGAACAGAGAGACCTCAAAGGGCAATGTGCCTCCTGTTCTGTATTATGTGCATTGCATGTCTCTTCACCCTGATGCTTGTGTTGCTCCTCTTAATGTCCCCTTTAATCTTACTGTCAGTTCTTCCTTTTCATCCATTCTTTTGTTCTACTTTATTCTACCCAGATCACATTCAACAGCATGGGTGGTCAAGAGTCTAATAAAGATCCGTTGTACCTCTTGTAGATAAAGCAATAGTAGTCCATTTTGTAGAAAAGTTCATGAATTGGACTATGTCAAATGAAGAGGTAATGTAAAGAGGGTTGAGCCAAAACACAGTATGAGAAAAACCCTTTGTACTTGGTTAATAACATTAAAATGAGGGATTGTGATAGACTCTCTCTGACCCAACTGAAATTTCTACTCAAATTAACATTGCATTTTTAAGTAAAAAATGCACAGAAGACTTCCCTTTCGTGAGGTGTTCAGGATTAATACATACATAAAAGTCTCATGGCTAGATATTCTTTTAACACCCCACTGTAGTTTACAGGTGTGAAATTATAGTTGATAAGTGTATTTTAAAGCTGTGTGAATGTACAGTCATAGATACCACAAAGAATTTTCAGAACAAATAAAGTGTTTCTCCCATTCAGCTGATAATTAGGGTCATTAAGGGATGTACTGGTATGTACGGCTCATAAGCACTTGTTTTAATTCATCAGATGCCACAAACCATGCCCCTCAAGCATAAGCATGTTATTCCAGTATTTCCATCCTTAACAGGGCATACATATCATTGTGATCAGGTTCAGTTTCAAATTTTGACAACTCCTCATTTTGCGCAAGAAACATCACAGGAGACGTCTTCCTAACTCTAACATCTTTATCTTTATTATTTACATGATGATCGGCGTTGTTCATAATTGGATCAAAAATACTTAGCCACAGCAACATGCAATAACTGTCCATCACATATTCCCACCCAAAGTCTGTTGAACTTACACAGGTGCTGGGCCAAACGTCTCCGCGTTGGTAGGTTTCCAAAGGGGTGCGCTCCTCACTGCACAAATGGTGCCACAGCATAGGTGCTGGGCCCAGTCTCCCTCAGGAGGGGGAGTGTTGAATCGGGAATCCAGGCGAATCACCTGTGATCCTCTCCCTTTATTCTTGGGAAACACTATCATGGACCATTCTAGAGTCTCATTTCTCACTTTGCCCAATTCCTTAGGGGTAGGGTCTGGAAGCAATCTTCCCAACTTCAGAGTAGGAAAGTCTCTTAATAATTCCTGGGTCTTTATCCTCTCATATTCCCTCAGCCTTTCCAGTTCTCTCTTACATTTCTACAACTCTAATTCAACCTCAAACCGTCACTCTCCCTGGCTACTTATACCCTCTTCCCAAACTGACAACTCTTGCTCCTCCCTCTTCTGGCTCCCGCACTCCTCCACCAAACATATTTCAAATTTCCCGCTTCGCTTCGCTCTGCTCTCGCCCCCTCCTTGGTCAAGTTCTCCTTTGGGTCCGTCTCTATACCGGCACTTTCTGGTTTCCTTCCTCCCTCTCTGCCCTCTGTCTCGTGGGACGGCGCACTGTCCTCTGGACCTCCTTCACAATCATATTACCCGCTCAGCATGTAATAATTTTGAACCCTTTCATGGTCTTGCCTGCACATGTAACAGCACAATATGTAGATTTCTGAAGTGGAATAGTAGATGATATCACATCAGGTTACAGGAGGAAGTACACATTTCTGATTGTTTTCTTCAGGATGGATAAAAATCAGTGGGTTTTTAAAAAATCAAGTTGATTAAAATCAAGATTTAAATCATGATTTAAGCAAAAATGATTTTTACAATTTAAATCATTATTTAAATTGTGATTTGATTTAAACCAAATCCACTCTGATTTTCTTACACTGAAAACCTCTGCATCTGGAAAATGAGCATGGCAAAGGAGTGGGCTGAGCTACAATTTTCTTTATTCTTTTCTAGTATTCTGCTTGGAAGCATTTTTTTCATGCCAAAGATTTTGATAAAGCATTATTCTCCTGACATCTGAGGGAAGTGCTAGTCCATTCTATCACCTGTTGCTACTGTATGAGGAGAACTGATTTTTCCTCTCCACCCCGCCCTCATTAGGTACTATGTCACATACATTGAGTACTTAGTACAAACTCTGTAAGTTGGTCTATAGAATAAAAGACTTGCAATTGCAGCAGAGAACTATAGTGTTCCGGCTTCTTTCTCTTTCAGCTTGATGATTGTGCACTGCAGCTGTCTCACAATGGTACCTACTTGGATTTGGAGTCTACATTAGCTGAGCAAAAGGATGAATTGGAAGGCTTCCAGGAGGATTCTGGGTGAGTAATTTATTTCTTTCCTTTTCAAAGCTTAGGTTTACTGGAAAATATGGAAACTGTGGCATTCTAGCATTAAATGTAGTACTTAGGGTCTAAACTAGGAAAGCTAAAATGATGGGGAGTTTTTAATCTAATATGGAACATCACATTAAACTGATGACCAGGAAGCTGCTGAATAGTTTAGGCATCTGGCTGCAGAGCCCTGAGATTGGAAGTTTGTTTCCTCACTGTATTTCCTTGACAGAGGCTGGACTTGATGTCTCATACTTTTTACCTGTTCCTCTTTCAATGTTATTTATGCCATCTCTTGCCAACAGTGCACATCTGCATTCTGTATAGGACAGACAGGATAATCTCTGCACAAAAAATTTAATGGACACAAATCAGGCATTAGGAAAGGCAACACAAACAAACTCATTTCACGTCCTTTTAATTTACCAGAACACTCTACACATGATCTAAAAGTGGCCATTCTGTAAAAAAGAAATGACAGGACAAGAATCCAGAGAGAGAGAGAGCTGAGATTATATATATGTTAGACAACCATCTCGATGGACTCAATATAAGCCAAGGCTTTTTAGGGCAGTACCAAATGTACATTCTACAATAATTGAACTGTTCTGTATCTCCCAGATATATTTTCCTCCTTAACAGATTCACCTTAAAAACGTTGAAGATAAGATAGCAATTCTTTTTATCCATATATAGGGGTACGTAGGCAATTAGTTGCAAAAGAATTCTCACCCGATGGAAACACAGCGATAGGTGCTGTTCCTTGCTTCTCTCAGCCGGCTGCCAGCGACTTGGAAGCTCGCCGAAGCTGCAATAATTGAACTGTTCTGTATCTCCCAGATATATTTTCCTCATTAACAGATTCACCTTAAAAACTTTGAAGATAAACCAGAAAGTCTTAACCCATTGCCATGTTGTTCTTCTGGCCATTCATTGCTTCGGGTAATTCACATATCATTGTTGTTGCTGCTGCTGTTTAGTTGTAAAGTTGTGTCCGATTCTTTGTGACCCCCATGGACCAGAGCACGCCAGGTGCTCCTGTCTTCCACTGCCTCCTGGAGTTTGGTCAAA